AGAGAAATGTGACTCATCACTCCAGAGAACACGTATCCATTGCTCTAGAGTCCAGTGGCTGCGTGCTTTACACCTCTGTATCTGACATTTTGCATTGTACTTGGTGATGTAAGGCTTGGATACAGCTACTCAGCCAAGGAAACCCATTCCATAAAGCTCTCTACTCACTGTTGTTGTTCTAACCTAAAGGCCACACGAAGTTTGGAGGTCTTTAGCTATTGTCTCTGCAGACAGTTGGCAACTTCCGCACACTGTGCGTGTCAGTATGTGCTGACCCTGCTCTGTCATTTTACGTGGCCTACCACTTCATGGATGAGTTGCTGTTGTTCCCAGTTGCTTCCACTTTGTTATAATACCACTAACAGTTGACTGTGGAATATTTAGTAGCAAGGAAATTTCACAGATTTAACTTACTGCACCACAGGCGGCAACCTATCACAGTACCACGCTAGTATTCACCGAGCTCCTGAGAGCGGCTTGCTTTCACAAATATTTGTAGAAGCAGTCTGCATGCCTAGATGCTTGATTTTATACACCTGTGGCTATGGAGGTGATTGGAACACCCGAATCCAATGATTTGGACAGGTGTCCCAATACGTTTGGCAATATAGAGTATATTTACCAATGGCTCCAATAATAAAAGGGAAGATGCCACCCATAGCAACCTTTTCTTAGTGCAAAGCTTTCATTTTCCCCAGTCTGTAAAAATTAGCAACCAAGAACTAGAATGAAAAACACTTTACTAGACAGCAGCATACAAGGCAAGCAGGAAAAAAAACAACAAAACATTGAGATGTCATCAAGCTTACTTTAGAGGCAATTATTTATCTAAATGTTTTTTATAACATAAAACACATTTTCCCTAATAAAATCTACTGTAACTAATACATGGTAGACTAACAATCCACATACAGTAGATAAGGTATGCGTGAAGCAGCATCAAAAGACAGTTTACAATATCTACATATCATAATAAATCATGTACTCTGCAAGACACTGGGCTGCTATGAAAAAACTCATTCATAAATTATTAATAGAGATACAGTCACAGAGCCAATTCAGCTGATGCAACTATAGTCAGCATATTGAGGATGGTAGCACGCTACTTATTATGAAATTTACACAAACCCACTAACATAATGATTTAACTTCCCTTCTTCTTGCTGCTCTCCCAGAGGATAATTCTACCTTCTGATTTATTTGTAAATTGCCATAGAGTAGGGGGAAAAAAGCTCCTCTCATAAGACACTATTAAGAAAAGGGATATGATTAGCCTGCGGTACTGCAAGCAAAAATGAAAATATTTCATGCATTATATAAGACGAAAGCCAAGAAAGATTTTTTTTTCTATAAAGAGAATGGCTAAGGGCTACATTTACTAAAGAATGGATTGTTCTATACATTTGCACCATTTTGCACTCATCTTCACCTTCAAAATAAACCTAAATTAAACATTTACCATATCAGATTAAATGTTTTAAAGCAAAAACATTTTCTGAGTTAGCAGATTGGCATAATCTTCAACAAAAAACAATAAGTAGTGAAGAACATCACAGATTTTTTTTTTTTGCTATCCATCTTTACTAGCAGATGAGAACACAAATCTGCTAAACTGGAAAACTCCCATGAGCCAGATTACCAATTCTGCTGCTGCCTAAAATAGCAGTAAATCCATCCAGATGAAGTCAAGTACACTTACCTTCTTTACTAGACACTGCATTTGGCGGACCAGCCACTAACTTTTTTTTTTTCTTGTTCACCTTTGCTTTGGTAAATCATCCCATTGAAAACTTAGTTTCAGTTTTATATGGAAAACTGTGTAATGTGTACATTTTTGGGCAAACTAACAGTTTTCAGTGGACAGACATACTTGTGCAAATATGACTTGCAAGTGTGAAAAAGTTCTGTATGTGTGTGACTATAAATCTAGACACTCTGCACAGCTAAAGAAACTGAAATTATTGGGCACAAAGCTTGCGTGTGAATTTCCGACAACAGGGGGATGACTATTAAGTATTAGTATAGTGCTTGCAACAGCCAATTCTGACTGTTCGGATGAAAATTTTTGTTGTATGTGAACACATCTGATTTTCGTTCAATGTAGTAATTGTATGGAAATAATCAAACAGAAAAAAACCACGCATGATCAGAAGCAAAGAACCACCCAGAAGAATGTGTCATCGAACATAGAAATGGTACACAAAAAATAATGTTTGGCCTTGTCATGGCGACCATTCGTCTGAGTTTCTCATAGTGTGTACCCCACTTTAGTCATGCTGACAATTTACTCTCTCTTATTGGACTGCCAGTGTTTATATTAACCACCAAAGCTTTGGATGGTTTAACCACATTCATGACCAGGTCAGTTTTTTCCTAATTAGCACTGCATTACTTTAACTGGTAATTGCACGTTATGCAACTCTGTACCCAAACAACATTTCTATCTTTTTTTTCACACAGAGTTTTATTTTGGTGGTATTTGATCACCACTGTGTTTTTTGCTATATAAAATTAAGAAAAAAAAAAAAAAAAAAAAAAGACAGAAGATTGTATGTATGTATGTATGTATGTATGTATGTATGTATGTATGTATATATATATATACATACATACACACACATACACACACATATATACATACACATATATATATACATATACATACACACACACACACACACACTGCTCAAAAAAATTAAAAGGAACACTTTGAAAAACATCAGATCTCAATGGGTAAAAAATATCATGCTGGATATCTATACTGATATGGACTGGGTGATGTCTTAGGAACGTAAGGATGCCCCATCGTTTGATGGAAATGAAAATTATCAACCTATAGGAGGACTGAATTCAAAGATACCATGAAAATCAAAGTGAAAAAAATGATAAAGCAGGCTAGTCCATTTGGCTGAAATTTCATTGCAGCAACTCATAATGGAGTAGCTTGCTTGCGTGCCCCCCCAAGTGCTTGCATGCATGCCTGACAATGTCGGGGCATGCTCCTAATGAGACAACGGATGGTGTCCTGGGGGTATTTCCTCCCAGATCTGGACCAGGGCATCGCTGAGCTCCTGGCCAGTCTGAGGTGCAACCTGGCAGAGTCGGATGGACCAAAACAGGATATCCCAGAAGTGTTCTATTGGATTTCGGTCAGGCGAGCGTGGGGGCCATTCAATGGTATCAATTCCTTCATCCTCCAGGAACTGCCTGCATAATCTCGCAACATGAGACCAGGCATTGTTGTGCACCAGGAGGAACCCAGGGCCCACTGCACCAGTGACAATGGGTCCAAGGATATCATCCCGATACCTAATGGCAGTCAGGGTGCCATTATTTAGCCTGCAGAGGTCTGTGCGTTCCTCCATGGATATGCCTCCCCAGACCATCACTGACCCGCCACCAAAACATTTCACACCAGTGGCCTGCTGGAGGTCATTTTTGTAAGGCTCTAGCAGTGCTCAACCTGTTCCTCCTTGCACAAAGGAGCAGATACCGGTTCTGCTGATGGGTTAAGGACCTTCTACAACCCTGTCCAGCTCTCCTAGAGTAACTGCCTGTCTCCAGGAATCTCCTCCATGCTCTTGAGACTGTGCATGGAGACACAACAAAACAAACCTTCTGGCAATGGCACATAGTGATGTGCCATCCTGGAGGAGTTGGACTGCCTGTCCAAGCTCTGTATGGTCCAGGTATTGTCTCATGCTACTAGTAGAGACACTAACCCAGGCCAAATGCAAAACTAGTGAAAAACCGTCATAAAAGATGGGTAGGGAAAAAAATGTCAGTGGCCTCTACCTGTAAAGCCATATCTCATTGTTGCCTATCTAGTGCACCTATTGTTAATTTCATTAACACCAAAAGCAGCTGAAACTGATTAACAACCCCTGTTACTTAGCTGGCCAGAGCAATATCCCAGGAGCTTAAATGACTTGGTGCTGTACTCTGGTGAAAAAGCATACCTTTAATTTTTTTTGAGCAGTGTATATTTTTTTTTTTTTTACTTTCTGCTATAACACTTTTAAAATAACATTTCTTTAGTTAAAAACAGTTGGACAGTAAGGGCGTGGCTTGTCGCATTGTTGCTGCAAAGTCATGTATTTTACTTCAAGCACCAAAAAATGCTTGGCTTGGTAAAATTGAACTTCTGTATGCCCCGGGAACCTCTACATTTCTGGCATGCAAATACCAAACTAAAGTTCAAATACTAAGTTGACATTCAGACACAACCCCTGTATCTCACAATGCAACACAGTCAAATGAAGTTCATCGAGTGCAACTTACAGCAAAGGAAATTACAGGGATACCTCGGTTAACAAACTTAATTTGTTCCATGATTCTGGCCGTGAACCAAGGCAAATTTTCCCATAGGTTTCAATGTAAATCAGGTTAATCTTTTCCTGACTCCTACAAATGTGGTCACCAACCGAATCAAATTTTCCCATAAGGTTCAATGTAAATATGGTTAATCCATTTTTTTTTGTTTGTGAACCACAAAAATATGAAAAATCCCAATAAGCGTATATTGATTAGTTTGTGTAAAAGTTATAGTGTCTACAAACTATGGGACTTTTTTCTTTTCTTTTTTTTACACTAGTAATGACGGCGATCAGCAACTTATAGTGGGACTGCAATATTGTGGCAGACATTTTTACACTGACACTTTGTGGGAACCAGTGACAGTGATCAGTGCACAAAATATGCACTGACACTGTACTGACAGTGGCTGGGAAGGGGTTAAACATCTAGGGTGATCAAAGGGTTAACCAAGTGTTTGGTGTACACTAAGTAGTGCTTTTGCTAGGGGAAGTGAAGGATCATGTTCCCAGCTTTGCAGAGACACATGATCCTTCACTCCCCCACCCGTCAGGCAGAGCTTTGTTCTGTGTCCTGTCTGACGACCGGCGGGTGCCGGCAGACATTCATCCACCAGCACTTGGAATGGCTGTACTCGCGTTCCTATGGCATAAGTGCAAAACCATACATACACACACACACACACACACACACACACACTATATTGCCCAAAGTATTGGAACACCCTTCCAAATCATTGGATTCAGGTGTTCCAATCACCTTCATGGCCACAGGTGTATAAAAATTGACTACCTAGGTATGCAGACTGCTTCTACAAACATTTGTGAAATAATGGGTCATTCTCAGGAGCTCAGTGAATTCAAGCGTAGTACTGTGATAAGTTGCCACCTGTGCAGTAAGTCAATCCCTGAAATTTCCTTGCTACTAAATATTCCACAGTCAACTGTTAGTGGTATTATAACAAAGTGGAAGCATCTGGAACAACAGCAACTCAGCCACGAAGTGGTAGGCCACATAAAATGACAGAGCAGGTTCCACGCATGCTGAAGAGCACAGTGCATAGAAGTTACCAACTGTCTACAGGGTAAATAGCTAAAAGACCTCCAAACTTGGTGTGGCCTTCAGATTAGTACAACAGTGCATAGAGAGCTTCATGGAATGGGTTTCCATGGCCAAGCAGCTGCATCTAAGCCTTACATCACAAAGTGCAATGCAAAGCGTCGGAAACAGTGGTGTAAAGCACGCCACCACTGAGCTCTAAAGCAGTGGAGATGTGTTCGCTGAAGTGGCGAATCACACTTCTCTGTCTGGCAATCTGAAGGACGTGTCTGGGTTTGGTTGTATTAGGAGAATAGTAATTGTCTGACTGCATTGTGCCAAGTTTAAAGTTTGGTGGAGGGGTGATTATGGTGTGGGGTTGTTTTCAGGAGTTGGGTGGGGCCCCTTAGTTCCAGTGAAGGGAACTCTTAAGGAATCAGCATACCAAAACACTTTGGACAATTTCATGCTTCCAACTTTGTAGTAACAGTAAGGCGATGGCCCTTTATCATAGAATAAACAGCTCAAGAGGAGAGCCGGTAATCGGCATTCCTCGGAGGGGACATGTACACTGATGATCAGCGTGCCCTGATGATCAGTGCAGCCCCAGCAGTGCCACCTGTCAGTGCCCATCAATGCCAGATGTCATTGCCCATCAATGCCACCTGCCAGCGCCCATCAGTGCCTACCAGTGCACATCAATACCACATATCAGTGCCCATCTGAGCTGTCTTTCAGTGTCACCTATCAGTGCCAGTCAGTGCCACCTATCAATACCAGTCAGGGCCACCTAACAGTGCCATATAGGAGTGCTGCCTTTCAGTGCCCATCAGTAATGCCCACCAGTGCCACCTACTAGTGCCCTCATCAGTGCCACCTTTCAGTGCAGTCTATCAGTGCCCATCACTGCAGCCTCATTAGCGCACATCAGTGAAGGAGAAAAATCACTTATTTACAAAATTTTATAACAAAAACTAAGAAAAGTTTTTGTTTTTTTTTTAAATTTCAGCTGTTTTTGGTTTGTTTAGCAAAAAATAAAAAACCCTGAGGTGATTAAATACCACCAAAAGAAAGCTCTATGTGTCTCAAAAAAATGATAAACATTTTATATGGGTACAGTGTTGCATGACTGCACAATTGTCAAAGTATGACAGTGCTGAAAGCTGAAAATTGGCCTGGGCAGGAAGGGGGTATAAGTGCCTTATAGGCAAGTGGTTAAGCAACATCGTTAGTTACTCTTCCTCTTCCTTATACGTAGATTAGTTACACACTTATGCATTGTGAAATCGCGTGTAGTTCCAAAATGCTATGTTATGAGTGCTAGTGTGTTATGATGCTTTTATTTTTTATTTTTTAAAGACAATCCAGTGCACTAAGGCTATGTATGCATCTGAGCTACAGTGCACTTCTGTCTCTCTCTTTGCCATTATCTGGCAGTGAATGAGAGGTTGGGAATGAGGTACAAACTGCCTTATTGTCAGGTTGGCTGCACAGGGCCACATGAATTAATGGTGGTCCTGATTTTTACTAGTGGTTGTGTACAGGTCCCCATGATTTTTACTAATGGTCCAGAAAGTAGCAGCTTATTTAATGGTACTGCAGTTGCCAGACTGCAGAATTACCACAGAATTTCAGCATCCACCCCCCCACCAGCAATACCTAGATCAGCATGTTAAGGAAAGCCCCTTGCCCCAATCCCTCCATCTTCTCAAACTGACAATTATCTGTTCCAAGACTTGTCTGCACTACGAAAGATAGCCCCAGCAACCACAATGCAAGCAAGCCATGAGAATAACCTGGACTTGTTAATCATTTTTTGAAATTAGTCTACTGGTAAAATAGATTATTTTAAATAAAAATACAGAACAAAGTCAGCTCACATTGAACAGAACAATTATATTCAATTTAACTGTTGCTCTGTAAAATGTCTTTCAGCTATCTACCGTATACAGTCAATGAAGATTGTGTAGTGTTGACTCTAAGGCTGGCCATACATTATACAATTATCTGCAGATTTTTGGTTTAGATTTACCAAAAACCATATAATAGGAGGACAAACCTAAACAACACTTTCAGTTGTATCCAATTAGGCAGGCCCTTGCACTACATAGTTGAAGGTAAATCTAAAGGAAATTGGGCAGAAAATCTGCAGATAATTGTATAATGTATGGCCAGCCTAAGTTCTGAGTGAGATTCTTCCATGCCAGAATTGTTCTATGAATACAATACACTATGAATTAACGCTAAATGTTTTGCAAACTAAAATCACCTGTTTTTGCATAAATTCCACTACTGGTACATCTCTTTGAACATATCTGAGCATACTCTTTACAGCCAGAAGCTTTTTTTCCCCAGTAGGGGGCATACTGAACATTACTACCACATTGGGGATGTGCCATATAAAAAAAAAAAAAAAAAAAATCTGTATCAGTCTGTAATAATCAAATCATTTATGGCACATGGCCAAAAGAGCTACTTCACTGTAAGATAGTGCATTAAAAATAAATTGCTTCTTAGAATTTATGGCATATACAGATGTTGTCAAGGGCAACTGAATGCAAATATACTAGCATAGCCAAATCCACACACATTATAATATATTGCTGTTAAATATGAGCTTTTTTTCAGAATCAAATCCACGGGATCTTCTCCACATTTGCTTTTCTTAGATCCCAGTCTTCCCTGGCTCTGATGTCCTTTGTCCATACAGCCCATAAGTAGAATGAACAGCCTAATATTTCATCTTGGCTTTGTTCTCTATCAATGTCTTCCAGTTCCTGCTGCATCTTCCATTTATACACTGATACAAAGCACATTTACACTACAGGTTGCAAACCAATTCAATTTCCAGTTACACCCAGCCAATGCAGTCATAAAGACAAATTCGTGTCACACTCACTTGCTGAATTCTCTTTAGAGCACACCCAGAATTGCAAGATTGACTGTGTTTGATATAGCCTTGTATACAGGATGAAAGATGCAAACTGTTGAAATATCTTGGAATTGAAATGCTTGAGAGGTACATGAAGATGACAAAAATTCAACAAGGCTAACAGAAAAACTTATCAAATCTACTATCTACCTTCTATCTATATGCCCTAACAAATGCTTCATCATTCATCAGTAATCGCAGTTGTCATGGATAGGCATGGTAAGGGATGTACAAAGCATAAATAAATTATAAATCTAATATACAGCAATGTGCAAAAGTTTTAGGCAGGTGTGAAAAAATGCTGTAAAATTAAAGTGGAGCTCCACCCAAAAGGGGAAGTTCTGCTTTAATGCTTTGTCCCCCGCACCTTTTTGAAGAGCGGGTACCCGAATTGGGTACCTGTTCCCACTTCCATCGCCTAGGCGATCGGAAGCAGAAGTTGTCCTCCCCCCCTCCTTCCCCGTAGTCTTCTGGGACACGTGACAAGTCCCAGAAGACTACGGGGCCATTCACAAAGCATATGTGCAGAGGGCACCCGGCTGTGAAGCCGCAAGCTGTCACAGTCGGGTGCCCACACTAAAGATGTCAGCGCAAGGGAGAGAAGACTGTGAAACCAGCGGTCATGAGGACACTGGTGGACTGAGAGAAAGGTGAGTGGCTGTATTTTAAAAGTCAGCAGCTACAGTTTTTGTAGCCGTTGACTTTTTTTTTTTCAGCCGGAACTCCGCTTTCAGAAATAGAAGTGTTTATAGGTTTATCAATTAGCAAAATAATAAAAACAGAAGACAAATCGATATTTGGTTTGACCACCCTTTGCCTTCAAAACCAGCATGAAGTCTTAATTTCTTCTAGGTACACTTGCATACAGTTGTTGAAGGAACTTGTCAGGTAGGATGTTCCAAACATCTTGGAGAACTAGCCACAGATCTTCTGTGAATATAGGCTGCCTCAAATCCTTCATGTAATCCCAGACAGACTCCATAATGTTGAGATCAGAGCTCTGTGGGACCAAACCATCACTTCCAGGACTCCTTGTCCTTCTTTACTCTTTAGATAGTTCTTAGTGACATTGATCCTATGTTTGGGGTCGTTGTCCTGCTGCAGAATAGATTTTGGGCCAATCACACACCTTCCTGGTGGTATGGCATGATGGATAAGTGTCTGCCTGTATTTCTCAGCTTTGAGTACAAAATTGGTCTTGACCAAATCTCAAACTCCATTTGCAGAAATGCAGTCTAAAACTTGCAAGAACTTCCAACATGTTTCACTGTTGCCTGCAGACACTCATTATTGTACTGCTCTTCAGCACTTCTTCATGCAAGTATACAAAGTGTGCAAGTGTAAGAACTGATGTTGGTTTGAAGCCAAAAAGGTAGCCACACCAACTATTGATTTGATTTAGAATCTTTTGTTTGCTCACTTTGCATTTTGTAAACTGATAAAAGGTAAAACAATTAAAAATTATGTATTTTTTAAAGCACTCTTACTTGACAGCATATCTTCACACCTGCCTACAATTTTTGCACAGTACTGTATATTTGTAAATATATTTTGTGCCATTTCTGTGGGTGTCCAACAGTCTAGAAATTGGAAATGGTTTATATACAATGAATTGCAAAGCCAACAGTAAAGTATGAATTAAGAATCAGTAGTATGTGGCAAGGAAGGGCTAATTTCAACTAAACAATAATAGGTGTGAATACAGGGAAAAGGTACAGTACATAAAGTTAATTAAACACAATAGGAAGAGCACAGAAAATGACTAAAACAGAAAAAAGTGGCTGCCGAAAAATATTCTATGGGAAGAATTGAGCAAAAGGAGTTCTAACACTTAAAATGGCAACAGGAAAGCAAGGGATGATGAGCTGAGGTGCAAAGCAACTGGTAGGGATTTTAGAAAGTGCAGATGAGTCCAAAAGAATAGGTAATGGAAGAAGAGAACCACCTCTCTGCTGAAATCCCTTTGGATTTCAAATTCCCTCAGATAAAATAGCGGTCATAAATACCAAGTTATCAAATTTGATTTAACCTCCCTGACGATATTCCCGAGTGTGGCTCGGGGTTAACTTTCAGTACCATAAGCGGTAACCCCGAGCTACACTCGGGATTACCCTGCAGTGTTGCTCTGGGATCCCTCGAGCACTTACCTTGTCCTGCAGTTCCGCGATGTCCCCCCTGCAGTATCCCCAGCAATGTCCTCCAGTCGATTCCAGAATCTGTCTTCCGGGTTCCGTTCCCTGCGAGCATCGGGACGTAGGGGGGACGGAACCGGCAGGAATTTCAAAAAAGT